TGTGAAGCCTTGCCTGCCATACAGCCTCCACAGACATGATCTTCTTGTGGAGAAGTTGTCTCTTGCCTCTAGGCTCTCTAAAATGGTTGTCATGGGTCTCTCCTTGCAGAACAGCATAGCCAGGTACAGACATTACACTTTTACTGGTATAAGTGATCAGAAATACCCATAACAGAGCAGAAGCTCAGCACACAAAACCAGTCCATGCCCATAATGGAACAAAAGCTTGGCACACGCAGGTTGGTTTAAAAATGTCAGAACTTGTTCTAAGTTTTACTTCCCATCCCACCAAGGGACAAATTTGTGTTCTGTTTGCTGCCGATTTAAACTACATCACTTACAGAAAACTGTGTAACTTAGATCGATTCTGCCTCAGGCTTTTTAAATGTCTGTACCTAGCCCATATTTTATTAACCTTTATTAACCATATTTTTAACCTTGCCTAAAAAGAACTTTGAGGTCCACTAATGAAAAGAGCTATACAAGAGCTTAGCCATGGTCGTTACTGTTTTACAGTGGTGCCACGTAGGGGGTGCGCCTGAGACCGTCAGTGCACTCCCTGTCAGGCCACGCTCCCTGCTCAGGCAACAAATGGGGGGACAGGTGGGAGTGCCGGTGCCCCTCCTGCGAGCGCTGGCCAGGGAGTGCAAGCACTGGATGTAGGCCACAGCCGTTTACGGAAGCCTCACAGCCATTTCCAGGAGTGTCACGGCTGCTTTCAGGAGCAGCACGGCCGCTCACTGGTTGGTAAGTTTTGCTGCAGGGCCCCCCACCCAGTTGCTGACTGGTCACTGGGGGGGCATGTGCCCCCTACCCCACCCCAACTAAGGAGGCACCAGCTGCCCATGCTGTTTTACATAGTAGGAGGTCACCTGCAGTGCCACGAAAGGGCATCAAATGAGCTGCTCAGGGTTCACGGCAGGACTTTTATCATGGCCTGACTGCCACTTTAATTGGGTAATCATCTGGATTCTTTCCCATGTAAGAAGATTATTCTGTAACTATCATGACTGTCCTTGGATGCTTCCTCTGCTATTTCTGGTACTAATCCCTCCCTGTTGGAGGCGGTGTCCTGGATTAGAGAAATGATTAATCTGATCTAGACTTGCTACGCCTGTTTTCCTGAAGAAATGCTGTCAACACAACTTTCTTGGGTGCACCTAGAGATTTTGCAAACTGACTAGATATTCTGGGTGTTACCATTTGTAATTTCCTAATTTTAGACACTTGTCCAGAGTTCCCGGGCACTCACCGGACAGGTGCAAACTGTGGCAACTGGATGTTACTTGTTCCCCTCTCCTGTTACCAGCAGCACCCTTTTTGCCTGATGTTTGCCACTAATTAGATCACTAATTATGGTACTTTTCCAATTCTTAACCTGAGTGCACAACTGCCTCTAAATCAATATGGCTTTCATCTCCCCAAGTTGTAGTAGACCTTCAGGCACAAATCTTCAAAGCAAGGCCTTAATTGTGCTTACTGTGTGTGTCTGTTTTCCTAAGTAAACAGTCAACCTGGCATGCAATTTACTGGATTCATTTGCACCAAAATACCTATTTCTTAGTGGTCGGTTTAAGTCCCTAAATAAGACTTAGGGGTCAGGACTTTAATCTTTCAGCTCCTATAGTGGAGGTCTGTCCAATGGAGCTAAGGGCTCTGTGTTCAATCCTAGCTATGGTTGTTACACTTAGAAATGGATACATATGAAAATTTACTGCATAAGAATCCCGTTCTCTGAGTGACTTGGAGATAGACAGGATCTTGTAAATTTCAATAGACTGCCTGCCTATAAAATCAGAATTAAAAAGGCAGAGCCTGAAGCAGGAGGGAGGTAGAAACTTGGTTTTTTGGTAGGGCCTACCAAGGGTGATGCAGCAATTCTGAGTTTTTGCACTGCTTGTTTTATGGATCTGTGGGATGTCATGAAAACAAATATTCCCCTTTGAAGAAAGTTAAAACCCTGGGCCCATCAACCTTGACAGCCTTATCCCTTTAATATTTTAACAGTCAGCCCAGAGAAACACAGTATGTATGAGATGTTAAATGTCTCCCCTGTTAATAAACAGTATTAATGGGGATGACTTTTATTGCCAGCTGGCATTTTAGCACTGAGTACAATAGGGTGGCTGCTGCTGTATAACACTCCCTCCACCCTTTCTTTTGCATAGGAAATTTTAATTTGATCTAGGAATTGAAAGGGCAGGTCAGACACTGCAATGCAGGAGCAGGATGGAGGGGGAAGGGAGATGACCCAGTTTGCTGCATTCTGAATTGGGTAGAAATCCACACAAGGTGTGAGCAGTGGTGCAGTGGTACCTGCATAACAGAAGGTATTGGACAGACTCTGAGATCTCTGTGGGATTCTCTGGGAACCTCTCTCAGGAGTGACAGATAATTGCTCACTGGAGGAGACTATGGTGTGCTGCTGCAGCTCTGAGACTCCTCTGTTCACACATCATCTTCACAATAGCACTTAGCATATAGAGTGTGCTCTTCATCTTCCAAGGGTTGCACAGGCATTAACACTGAGAAGCATATTGTTAGGATATAGTTGGCCTTGGTTTACAGCAGCCTCTGTATGCAATCCAAGGCAGAGCGCCTCTGCAGTGGGAAGCCTATTTAAGAGGAGTATGGGAGAGGTCAGAGGCACAACGGATATACTCATGCAGCCAGGAAGTCAATCTAGACTTAACGCTGGATGTCCCTTAAAGGGTCAAAGGAGTGAATTTATCTTCAACAGCTCTCACTCACTGCAACAGCAGGTGGTGCTTACATTCACACACTATTTCACCAGCTGGAATCACTGCCTCCATTTTACAGATAAGGAAACTGAGACAAAGAGTTGTCCAAGTCTGTGTGAGTCTTTCAGAGCTGGCAATAAAATACAGGAGCTTCTGGATCCCATTCTTGTGCTAAGACCACGACTCAGATCTGCCTTTCATGTTTTAAAGACTATGATGACATTACTGGTGTCTCTTCTCCCGCCTGCACTCCATGTGTTAATAAGTGTGTTTCCACATACTGGTGTAACCCGGGTGTACCAGAGTGTGTACTCCCCTCTCCAATAAAAGGGAATGGTCAGCAGAGCGTATGTGCTGGAGATGGAAACTTCAGCTTGCTTGCAGTTTCCCCTTCTACGGTGTCTCTATAGAGGAAGACCAGGACACAATAAATTAACTATGTACATTGTTTATTCAGGTGAAGAATAAAAGGGGAAAGGATAGAATAACTGGATAGGTGATAAAGAAAAATATTTACAGATAATATATTCAAGTCATCAAATAACATAACAGATAAGTATAGCAGTACCCAAGACCCATGAGAAAAACCTCGCCCATGGACCCCAGAGGGTATGTCCCAACAATTGATGGGTAAGCACCCCAAAATATAAAGCACAGCAAACAGTCAATAAACACTCCAAAATATGAAGTGCAGCAGACAATTAATAAACACTCCATAATATATGGCAATCCTAAGTACCCCCCTCCTCTAGAGGAGTCTCTCTTTTTCTAGCTTAAACCCCCTCTGATGGGACTATCCACTGTGTCCCTCCCCAGTGGGAAACCCCTAGCCTGAGAACTCATACTTCCCGGTGAGCAGGGGTCCAGCAAGAGTTCCCAGTGCTTTGTCCCCAGCTAGGCAAACAGCTCCTGCAGTGGGTGCTCTGTCTCAGTCCCCTTGTGGGGTGTGTGGCTAATTCACATACCTGAACGGCTCGGCATTCTCAGCAGGTTGCAGGCCTGGGCCGCCTCGTGCCTGCCCAGGGCCAGAGCTCCAGTACAAGCCCACTGCATGGCAGAGCCTGCATTGTTCATGGGCCCTCGCACCCAGCAGTGGGGAATGGGGACCGAACTCCCCCTTGCCCCCTCCAAGGGCCCTTGGTGTGTCAATGACTCACTGTGCAGTGGCATCTGCACTGATGCTAGCCTTGTGCTGGGTTTGGAGACCTGAGCTACCTCAAGTGGTTCCTAAGGTAGCTCTTCCCCAGCTCTTCCTCAGCCCCAGCTTCTTTCTTCTCTGTCCCTCATCTTCTCTTCCACCTGCTGTGCACGCAGCTCTTTATATATTCTTTTGGGGCTCTGCCCCAAGATTGAAGACTGGCTAATCAGGGAATGGTGGAGCACAGTCTTCAGTTAAGTCCACTCCTTGCCTCATCCCGATGTAGGGGCAGGACAGACTCCTCCCAAGGCTCCTCCCCTGCTGGTCTCTGATTAGTGGGTTTGCCCCACCAATCTCTTGGCAGTTTGTCAATGAAAAAATGCCAAAGCCCAAGGAACCAGGCGAATATAGGCAAGCCCGCCACACTGCTATGAACCTTGGAGCAATCATGTACGTACCACAAAGCATTCCTAAATAGGTAGGCTGTGTGGCAGAAGACCACCTCTGTTTCTCCCCATAAACTCTGCTCTGTGACAATTTGGTTAGGATGGGCCCAGAAGAGGATAAACACCCCCCCCTATCTCTTTAGGTAACCTCAGCTGGATGTATTCCTGAGGGAGGGGGGAGACCTGCTCCCTCTGCCTACGTGACTGGTATCACATACCTGGGTGAGGGGCTTGTTCCCTGAGAAGCTAGGAACTGCCAGTCTGCCGGGCAACCAGTGATGCATTTCAAATTGACTGGCTGACAGGTTCTGGCCCCCATTGGACCAGGTAAATGGGGTCATAAGGTGTATATAAGTTAAGGACTGCCCAGGAGGACGGGCAGTAGCCATGATGAAAACTCACTGAGAAGCTGGACCATCTGAAACTTGCTCTTTCTCTTGAAATTCGTGATCAAGGAACTGCCTGCTTCCAGAGGGAATCTCCACTTGCCTCTGGATGATACTTCTGAGTAAGCTACCCAAGATCTAACTAGATATATAGCTTGCAGTAACACAGATCCAAAATCAAAGGCTACCCAGCCATGGGAGTTTGCTGTATGGGATTTCTCTGATATTGCTCTACCCTGTACCCTATTCCAGTCCTAGCCGTTGTAACCAATAAAGTTCTCCTTTGTACCTAGTGTGGGAGACTTACTGGGAGCAGGTCTAGATTATGCGTTGGGTGTCCCAGCTGCCTGCAGAGGGTTTAGATTGAAAGTGTG